AAAAAAAAAAAAAAAAAAAAAAAAAAAAAAAAAAAAAAACTGTCCTTCTGTCCTTGCTTCAACTGTATACAGAATGCTGTCCAAAATGTCAATGAGAATGCAGGGAAGTTGAGTGCTGAGCTTTGCCAAGACAAGGTAAGCAGTTCTTCATAATTCCTGCTTCACAGAAAAGTCTGTCAGATATTCTTGGCCAGAAGACTGAAGATGGATGTTCCAACTTTATAGAGAAAGTTTGGGGGATTGTCCAGGCAGCCTGTGGGAAAACTCTGCTATTTAAGGTCAAAGTCTACCATGACCAGATAGCCTCTGAGCTCAGCACAAACTGGAAGATTCCCTTCTTTAGCATGTTTTCTCCTTCTCTAACCTTGTACGGGGATTCTAAGCCCTCATGTTGGCCTCTACCTGAAGAATGTCACACAGTCTTAATTAGTTTACAGGGTCAATTCTCTTCCTCCTAACAAAACTTGTTCAGCTAGCAACTGAGATTCTTGAAATGCTTCTCCAGGCTAATGAGGTATGTCAGGTACCCTAAGCCCCTAGCCAATGACCTACACCCGTCCCGGATGTCCCTGCTCTCAGTGCCCCTCCCCCAAATTTTAAGCCTTCAATCACCCTAAATAAAATTGATCTGCCTGCTCACAGCAGTCCTGGTGTGGTTATTCACTGTACATACTCACAGGGCTTCCAGGAGGAAGAGGAGGGGACACAGAGAGATTTGGGGATTTGGACCAGGCTGTGGAGGGATAGGAAGGACAGACATGTAGGTCTCTGGGACCAAAGTTTGTAGCCTCCACAGGCAGACTAAGAGGATGACTTCGTCTCCTTAGGAGATTAAGGAGGATGGGGCAGGATATTCTTCACCCAGTAGTTGTGTTATTTGGCTAGTTTTAAAATATTAAGGCTGTCTGGTGTTTTCCATCTGTGGCGACTCAGGTGAGCAAGAGAAAGGATGTTTGTATATACATTTGTGTGTGCCTGCATATACATGCATGCATGTGTGTAAGCATGTGAGGTACTTTGGGGTTTGCAGGTCATTGCATTTGAGTGTATGTATGTGTATGCATGTGTAAGAGTATACATGAATGTTTGTTAAAGGTATGTGTGTGTGGATGTGTGTGCATGCTTTTGTTTGATTTAATGTGTGTATCTCTGTATGTGACTGCTTTTTATGACTGTGTATGTGCACTGGTACATGTGTGTTCACATATGTATGTAGGAAGATGTGTATATACACTGCATATGTATATATAAGTGTGTATGCATGTGCATTTGTATGTAAATGTACATGTGTGTGGGTGAGTTTAGCATGTATTTGTACGTACACTTTTTGTATCTCTGCCTGCATATCTATGAATAGCCAGACATTTAGCTGCTTTATTGGATTCTTGTTGTTATCACCCTTTTCCACCCTTCCAACCCCCCAACACTAAATAGGAGAGATAGATGGTTAGAGGGGAAGAGGCTATTGATATTGTTAGACTCCTTTCTGTTGATTAGGGGCATAGAGCTCCTTGGAACAAGTTCAAATTTTGTCATCAGAATATCTCCAATCAGCCACCAGGAACCAGCAGCATCTCGGCCCAATTTTGCCCCTACATTTCTTTTAGATAGGACAAATTTTGTATTGAAAATCTTGTGGGTGGGTTGGTGTCCTTATCTCTTCACTGTTGGTCCTGCTGGCTACAGGAGGTGGCCTCTTCAGGATCCATATCCACACTGTTGGGCATCTCTGCTAAAGTCACCAATGTCAATTCCTGGGAGCCTATCTTGGTGCTCTGAAGCTTCTTGTACATTGATTGTCCCTTAATGCCCTGAGCCCTGTGCATATGTTCAGTTCCTTAACCAAAAGAAAAAATGCTTTGCACTATGAAGTGGACCACAAGACAGAGCCAAGAGGTGTGAATGAAGAACGTGGGGTTAGAACATATATGAAATGGGAGCAGAAAAGAAGCTACTGGGGTAGGGTGCAAAGGGAACACAACGATAGGAAAGAATCAAAAACAAATTTGTTTGACTGTTCCATATGTAAACCTAATACTCTGTATAGTCATTTTAAAGCTACTTTTGAAATCTAAAAATAAGATAAAATAAGAAAACATGGTTTTCAGATACAATTGTAGTTTCCATTCTGACTTGTCACAGATATAGCCAGTGAAAAATAGGTATGTTCTTAAAAGTAGAGGAAGACAGCATGATCGTCATGGATACACAGTCCAGAGAAAGGAAGAGCAACCATTTGAGTTACAGTTAAAAAAAAAAAGCCAATCACTGTTTCTTGCTCTGAGGATAGACAACAAAGGTGATGAGCCAGGGAATCTTTAGAGTCAGGAAACTGATAATGTTTTCAAACGATAAGTAACAGTCCAGCCATTAGATCCTCTTAAGTGTAACTGCAAAGAAACTAGGCCTACTTATGACTCTAGTGCACTGAAGATGGGAGTGTGTGCATGTGTGTGTGTGTGTGTGTGTGTGTGTACGCACTTGTGTGTCTGTGTGGTTGAAACAGGGTTTCTTCATGCAGAATTGGCTGTCCTATAACTTGATCTATAGACCAGGCTGGCCTTGAAATCACAGATACCCATCTGCTTCTGCCTCCTAAATTCTTGGATTAAAGGCATGTGCCCAGTGTTTTCTTTTTAAAACACAGAATCTCAAAAAGGAGCATTACTCCATGAATGGAAAAAATATTTTAAAGAATTATATTATTTTTAATTATGTGTATGTATGGAGTCCTATATTCCACTAGAGAAAAAAACTAATCATGGCTCTTACCTAGCTGTGAACCCTATTGAGATAAAATGATGACCAGCCCAGCAGTATATGTCCACTGGCACAACAGTGGCACAAATGTTATAGAAGTAACCAACCCAACTTCTGATTGGAATTAAGGTTTACTCTACTAGTTGAAATTGTAACATGCCCTTGGAACTTAGTAGGCCACCTGGCCTTAGCACAACTGATGCCATGATGAAAATGCCATCCAGGAAATAAAACTCATAATACAGGCACTGCTACGTGCCAAACGGTGGTTCTCAACCTTTCTAATGCTGTGACCCTCTAATACCATTACTCATATTGTGATAATTCCCAGCCATAAAATTTTTCTATTGCTACTACGTGACCATGATTTTGCTACTCTTATGAATCACAATGTGAACATCTGAGGTGTGACCCACAACACACAGGTTGAGAACTACTGCTCCAAAATAAATAAAGATCTAATCCACCGAAGTCTGCAGGTCTGGTAAAGTCTCTAAAGGTAGTAACCTTGTCTACTGCCCTCTGTGGTTCTGCTTCAAGCTAACTGTTCTTGATGAAGTGTGTTAACAAAGGATGTGGTTTTGTGCTTAAAAGGTCACCATCCAAACACTCAGGGATACACTGGGATCTCAAATACCCAGTGTAATTGCTGGCCAACTAATAAATACTTTCTGTAAGTTTGAAACCATATCCAAGTAGTCTTCTATGATGGATGCCCCAAAACAGAGATTTATTCTTAACAGTGTTATTAGAGCCAAGAACCTATGGCTAGAGAGCTCCGTGTACTTAGGGAAGAACCTATGACTATTACTTTGTTAAATGGACATGGGATTAAACCTAAGGACTTATTATTATTGTATTCACAGAGCAGTGCATTTCTCAACCTTCATTAGGGAAACTTACATTTGAACAGATGGCCATTAATGCAGAGCATGATCAAAGAAAGCTCAAGCACAAAATGGATACCTAGTACAGCAGGGTTAGTGGTACGGTCCCTAGGAAGCACACCAGTTGTCAGGAGAGAAAACTTGTGTGAGACATGCTGTAACCTGGACCTAGGGATCTTGACTATAGCGTTGCTGCTGAGGCCACAAACAGCACTGACTGAGATGGAAGGTAAGCTCACCCAATTGTGTGAGTCATACTAGAGATAAGTATTACTACCTATCTCTAGACTGAAGTGTCATGGTCACTCCATCTCCCTCCCTTCTCATTTCCTGAGTCTTGTAAAGCTCACTCAACCCTACAGAGCAACCTCATTTGTTTAGACTACACTGGAGTAAGGGACATTTTCTTTCCCCTCCTCTCTCCACTTCCCTCTTCACAGAGCCTCCTTGGCCTGGAACTGGATCTTAGGGTGACAGGACAGTTTAAGGATAACAACCTTCCATGGATCTGCCTTACTATCATGGCCGCCTGACCAACCAAGAGTCAGAACTGCTCCTCAAGGGAGGGGTGGATGGCAACTTTCTGATAAGAGACAGCGAGTCTGTGCCAGGAGCCCTGTGCCTCTGTGTCTTGTGAGTACCCTCATCTTCATGTAGGTGAATCCTGATGGCAGCCATACACTCAGGGAGTTGTATCTCATTCTACTTTGGAATGGTAATAGACCAGGTACTGCCAGGAGAGGACAGAAGGATGTTCCTACCCAGATCTTCTGCCTGCCTTCCTCTCTCAGTTGTGCATGCCACATGAGCAGAGTCTGAGACAACAGAAGAGGGTAGACAAGTAAGGAAATAGAGAGGGTGATGGGGAGAAAGAACAGACAGAACAGCATCTTCTCCGCATACCTCTTTATGTGATGTGGAGAAGGGCAGGGGGGCTTTACTACAGCATGAAAGATTGGTTGGCTGCATTCACTTGCAGTATTTAAAGTGCTAATATTTCACATGTTTTCAGGTTGGCAAAGGGCTTTATCAAGCAACATTTCTTCATTTCTGTTTATCCTTTTTGTGGTCTCTCAAGGCAAGCATGATCTCTTGTCATTTTATAGATGAAGAAATTGAGAAACACTGAATCCTTTATCATGCCTGTTACAGACACTGAGGAAGACTTTATTCAGGGCCCTCTTGACAGGTGTAGAGACTGATGTAATGATGACGTCAGTGGGGAAAGATTGGCTTTAACTCTGAACACAGTATGAACAAGTATGAATTCATAGCGAGGAGAAGGATGGGGGTCTGTGCATGGAAAAGAACCAAGGGGAAACTTTAGAGACAAGGCAAAGTGTGACTAAAATGGCCCTGGGATTCTAGTTGAGAAAAGACCACTGTGATCAGATCTTATTTGGGGGCAGATGAAGAAGCTGACAAGATACAAAGCTTTGGAGCTTTGAGAAATCTAAATTTTGTAAGGAAATTCAAAGGTGGGCATAGGAAGTTTGGGAGCTTGACTGAAGTCTAGGTGAACAAAGAATCAGTGTTACTGGAGGTTACTCTTGTGCTTCTTAGAGCCTAGAGAAAGGTCAGAAGGCAAAAGTGACTGTCACTACTAGTTGTTACATAGGGAGGGATCTTTGTTTCCTTACATGATGCTTGTGGTTTGGGTGTGTATCCATTGGTAGTATGTGCCACAGTCATGGTTTCCATGTAGTGATGTTGAGAGGTGGCAGGATCTTTAAGAAATGGAACCTAAGGGGAGACCATAGGACATTGGAGCTATTACCCTTCGAAGGATCTTAGGGGACACTCGCTCAGCTCTAAGAGTGTCACTATCAAATGAATAAGACTGGCCCAGCTATCTCTCCATGTGGTCTTTCCCTCTGCATGATGACATCTGCAGCATATGATACACCCAAGTGGAACATCATTTCGCCTGGGGCCATACTGAGCAGATGAGTGACAAGTGCTGGGATTCGGAAGTTAACGCTGATGAGGAGAAAGTCCTGAAGCTGGGAAGTTTGAGTGCTAAACCACTGCAGCTCTGGATGGGGGTGGGGGGGGGGAAGAACTACTTATGGTGGAGTGCAGGGCAATCGGAAAAATGCCAGGGGGATCCCAGAGACAGGACACATCTTGGCCAGCAGCCCAGGTACAAGGTCTCCTTTGAGATGCTCTTTAATCTTGATACTTATTTTAGCTCCCTTGAGTTGTGTCAGCCCATCACGTATATTCATGTAAAGCAATCGTCACTTGGATTGTTTAAAAAAGAAAACAAAAATAAAAGCAAGTCAAATGAGAAAGGTATAAATATCTGTTGAGCACCTTCACAGGACAAAACTTCACCCTCCTCCCTGCCTGTGTCATGGAAGCACAGATGAAATGCCATGCATGCTCAGTCATAAGGTGTAGATCAAATGACCCAAGTGACCCCATCCCTGATTTGGTGATCACTTATTTTTACTAGTAATTATAATCTTTCATAGGCCAAGCACTGTGTTAGATCCTCAGCTGATGGATCTACTGTAGAAAACAGAAGCTAGATCGTAGTGGGGAAAATTAAGTCACTGGACCTGTTTGCAAGCAATGGCTGTGATGATTAGAACATCCTGGGGTATGATGGGAACTGACAGCCATGAGTGACAGAAACAGAAAGCATCACATCGGTACTGAGCCTCCCAGGATGAGTGGATCCTTTTTTTATTTCATTCAATAAGCATATACTCAGTTTCTTTAGGTTCCAGACATGGTCCTAAGCCTTGGAGTACAGTGGCAAGTACTGGGGGAAATGTCACTTTGCACAGATCCTTCTAGTAACTAATGTTACCAGTAATTTATAAGGGTAAAAAAACAACTGCTCATTTCTGTTATTGATTGATTGGTTGACTGGTTTTGAGTCAGGGTCTCACAAAGTCCAGGTAGGCCTTGAATTCACTATGTAGCTCAGATTGTTCTCAAGGTCACAAAATTTCCCATCTCTACCTCCTAAATGTTGTGATTACAAGTGTGTACCATCCCCAGGCCTGGCAGACTGATCTAATGGTGTATACAAGACCAAATTCTTCATATATTATCATATACTTTGACTTTAATTATGTCCCTAGGGCTACTGAAATATGTTCTGGGTAGTCACCTCAGAAGTATTTTATACAGTGCCCAAGCAAGAAACCTAAACTGTGACTTTTCCCTCATATCCAGAATCTTGCCACCCTCCTTGGCAGAGACAGGCCGTTTCTTTGCTGCAGTATTTGGATTTCTGAGCTGTCCCAGAGCCAATGACTAAAGAATGAGAATGTACAGATAAATGAGGGAAGCCAGGAGTGGTGGTTCATGTTTGTAAACATCACAGTTTGGATTGCTAACCTAGGATATAGAGTAAGGGTCTGTCTCAAAATTCCAAAAGAGGAAGAAAGAGAGGGAGAGAGGGAGGGAGAGAGAGAAGAAGGGAAGGACCATTTAGCCAGGCATGATAATATATGCCTGTAATTAATTCCAGTCCTTGAGAAAAGTCAAGAAGACCAGGAGTTCAAGGCTAGATTTGGCTACATAGTAAGTTTGAGTCTAACCTAAGCTATATTATGCTGTGTATAAATGAATGAATGAATGAGTGAATGAATGGATAGATAGATAGATAGATAGATAGATAGATAGATAGATAGATAAACAAATAAATAAAGGAAGGAAGGAAGGAAGGAAGGAAGGAAGGAATATGAGGACAAGAAAAGGAACTGATGAAAAGGGAGAGACACTTCAGAGAACATCTCCCTTGCAGCTTGGTGAGAGAGCTACAGTTCCCACGGACAGAAAAGGGCATCTGATCTCTCAGCAGATGGAGCTAGAAAACCTCAAAGTGGGAAGAGTGTGTGTGGTGTGACTTTGTGAAAATGAGGAAGTTGAGACTGGGTCTGCCTTTGTAGCCTGTAGAGTCCAGATGGGATAGATGTTAGCAGGTGAAAAGGATTCATCCCTGGAAAGAGTCCATCAAGGGGAATGGAGACCTTCTGTAGCCACAGGGAGGCTGCAGCTGCTGTGTGCAATGGGAGCAATGAGGCAATGCCTTCTGTCCCCTGAGACTCATTCGCAACTCCCAAATTCTGAGAAAGAGTCACAAAGAGTTCAGAAATAAAAGCAATAACCCAAACAATCTATATACTTAGGACATATACAAATTCCTTTCAGAAAAACATAGGGTTGACAGTAGCTCAGTGGGGAAGAATGTGTCTAGCATGTACAAAGCTCTGAGGTCAACCACAGCACCCAAGTTCAACTACTACTGCTAATATAAATAATTCCAAAATAAAAATTAAAGGTGGGCATGGTGATTCTTGCCTGTGTTCCCAGTATGTACAAAGCTTGGATAGGAGGATGGTAATGAACTTGAGGCCAGTGTGGACTACACGGTGAGTTTCAGATCAGCCTGGAATATGGTGTGAGATCCTGTCATAATGGCAAGAAAAAAAGAAAGAATGATAAGGAGGGTGGGATGGGGGAGGGGGAAGAAAAAGAAAAACATGATCAAAGACCCATAAAAACAAAAGCAAAGCCCATTTCCCTCTATCTTCAGAAGTCATGTATATTTAAGTACACACATTGGCAAGCTTTTTGCCATGGACAGTTTGCAATTGTATATATAACAAATGGCTCTCTGCACATATAGTTTTTAACCTGTTTTTCTATGTACATTGTGTGTGTGTGTGTGTGTGTGTGTGCATGTTAATATGGGAATAGCATACATCTGCACATGAATATGTGTGCATGTAGGCCAGAAATTAATAATTAATGCCAAGCATCTTCCTCAATTGCTCTCCACCTTACTTTTGGAGACAGGGTATCTCATTGATCCCGGAGCTTACTGATTTGGCCAGACTAGCTTGCCAGCCATCCTCCGGGGTCCTCCCCTTCCCTCTTTCTCAGTGCAGGAATACAGGCACACAATGCCAGGCTCAGCATTCATACAGGTGCTGGGGGTTCTGAACTCAGTCCTTCATGCTTGCACAGAAGCCCTTTACTGATCGAGCCATCCATCTCTCCAGCCCAACAAAGCTGCCACTATCATCTCTTCATGACTGAGTGGAGGATTGTAATTCTTATAATTTATATATAGTTACTTCCAATTTTATTTTGCATTTTATGTGATGGGTTAAGTATAAGCTGGAACAATTAACACTTTTGTACTTACATCTTTTACATTTTGCCTCTTTAAAAATCTAGACATTTGAATTTTGTCATGCACATTGACAAGTACAACATCAGCTTTCGTTTGCATACCTTCTAAGCAAGGGCATGAAAAAGACGGATGTCAATAGACTCAAATATTGCAAGTTTTCAGGGGTCCTCTTGTGATTTAATAATAAGGACATGGAGACAGTTGTACAGCACAAGGCTGTTGGTCTGTTTACTGGGGCGTCTCTCAGCTAGCCCAAAATGACTTACTCTGCTCTACCTCGGTGCCATGCTCTCTCTCTCTGCTTCCAGCTAACTGCTTTGTTTTGTTAGGTTTTGTTTTTTTGCCTGCCTGGTTGCTCTGTCCCATCTCCAACAACCAGCTGTTTACTATACAAAATGCCACACTCCTTACTCATCCAGTCTGAACCAACCAGCAGTAGGAAAACCTCTGGCCAAACTGTGTTACCTCTCCTTTC